ACACACACACAAACACGCTCTCTCACACACGCTCACTCACACGCACACGCTCTCTCACACACGCTCACTCACACGCACACGCTCTCTCACACGCTCACACAGCCGTTAAACATGCACATTACATGAACAAACTCCTAAAACTCAATGCTACATTTCAGTGTAATGTTTTTAAACAATAAAAGCATCCATAGGTAATCACCTAGCAACCACCCCAAAACCCTTAGCAACCACTAGGGGTGTAACAATATATCATATGTCACAATATATCATAATCTAAAAATGAAACGTGTATTCTGTGTAGTTTGCTCAAAAGTGAAGTAGGCTTTTATTCAGATATAAACAACGCGCATATCTGGAATCTCTCACATTTCAGCTTCCATGTTTATTAATTATTATTAATCATTGAAACATATATTTTTATATAAGTAATAATAAAATAAATTATATATATATAATTTAAAAAAAATGTTTTTACATCGTTTGTGACCTTTGACCTGTGCTGTGTCCTCAGTCAGGTGTTCCTGCGCTCATGAGCGTGTCAGCAGTTCTTCACAGCAGGTGATGATCGTCACACTAAACACATCTTTAGCTCTGAATGCATCAGCATTATCTGTCAGTCACTGAGTGACTCTGTTTGTTTTATAGCTCCGCCCCTGAGATCGTCTCCTTCTGTGGAATCATTACTCAGCGAATCACATTACAGGAGGACAACGGAACCAAACCCAAGATCCAATCACCGACAGCAGCTGAAGGTTTGGCCCCGCCTCCAGTTTCTCTCTCTACAGATATCTGCTGACTGAGTCACTGTGTTTATACCAGATGTTTCCTTCTCTGTAAATATGCAGATGCAAGCATTGAGCAGGATCTGCGGGTGCGTTTGACCGTCCAGGACACTGATTGTCCCGGTCATGTGATTGATGTGTATGTGGATCTGTCGTGTGGTCCATACACACTCGGTCTGATCGCCGGAGCCGCTGTTTCTGTCCATCACGTTCAGCGCAAAGTCTCCAAGTTAGTTTGAGATGCTCTCATTAACATTGATTTATGTACTCAAAATATATAGCAAATCTCAGATCTGTGATTGTTTATATTGTTGCAAAATGTTTTAACTGTACCCAGCTCTATGGAGGACCAAACCTGCAAAAATCTAAATAAATAAATGTAACAATTGGAAAATAAATCAATTAATAAATGACTTAAAATCAAATTTAATCAAAATTAGTGTAATTAAATTTACACTTAATCGATAATCAATCAATTCTAATATCAGTCCACCTGATTATAATACAAGAGACAGAAATGTAAAAATAACATTTAAATATGGAAATAAATACATGGTGTTAATAAATATGAAATTAATGCATTAATATAAGGCAAGGCAAGTTTATTTATATAGCACATTTCATACACAATGGTAATTCAAAGTGCTTAACAAATACCATTCATTTTTAATTCAATTTAGACTTTTATCTATTTAAATTTACACTTTAATCTACAATAAACAAATGATAAGCAGCACCAGCCCTGATTATCATACAAGAGACAGAAATGTAAGAAGAAACACAAAAAAGTAGAAGAAAATAAATGTAATATTTAAATATATAAATAAATTAGTGCTGTCAAATGATTAATCGCATCCAAAATAAAAGTTTTTGTTTGCATAATATCTGTGTATACTGTGTATATGCATGTGTAAATAAATATAAAAATATAAATGTAATTAAAAACCAATTGTATTTGTTTTAGCAAGTCATTTATTCCTTTGTTTTCTATTATTTATTTAATTATTTAACATTTTTGCAGGTTTGGTTCTAACCTCTGCATCTAAAGTTGGATATATTAGCATATCTAATGGCGCTTTTCCACTGCGTGGTACGACTCGGCACGGCACGGACAGTATATGAACATACTTTCCAGAAGGCCAACTATTCACTAAAAATGTTTTTTTTATTTGTCTTATGAAGTATTCTAATTTGTTGAGATAGTGAATTGGTGGGTTTTTGTTAAATGTGAGCCAAAATCATCACAATTAAAAGAACCAAAGACTTAAACTACTTCAGTCTGTGTGCATTGAATTTATTTAATACACGAGTTTCACAATTTGAGTTGAATTACTGAAATTAACTTTTCCACGACATTCTAATTTATTGAGATGCACCTGTATATACTACAGTATATAGTAAATCTCAACTGCTTGATTGTTTATATCATCAAAATATAATATTGTCCAGCTCTCTGCTAAATGCAACTCTTAGGCATAAAGATATTATAAACACAAACATCATGATTTTCGGTGTAGCTGCTTTGAAACCGTAAGTATTGTGAGAAGCGCTACACTAATGAATGTGACTTGATCTGTAGTGATGGTGTGTGTGTGTGTGTGTGTGTGTGTGTGTGTTTCAGGGCGTGTAACGTATACTGCCGCTCTCTGCCCATCAGCTGTGTGAGCGTCACTGATCTGACATCAGTCTGTTTAAGGCGAGTCACACACTTATTTACACACCTGTGTTTGGTTACAGTGAGGGACTGAGCTCCGTTATTTTTCTGTGCATATCATTATTTTATGCATTATTGTGTATTAGTGTATTATTTTACACTAGTATGCATATTACCAGTTTCTGAATTATTTATTTTGTGCATGTCATTATTTAATGCGTTATTGTGCATTAGTGTATTAGTTTACACTAATATGCATGCTATTAGTTCATGAATGATTTATTTGTCTTTTTTATTAATTCTGTATTATTTTACACTACTGTGCATATATTAATTATTTATTTGTGCATATCATCATGCGTTATTGTGTTATTTTTCTCTGATCTGCATATTGTTAATTTATTGTGTGTGTGTGTGTCTCTGTGTAGGTTGGTGCTGGAGGACGGCTCTGCTGACGCTCACGTCTGGTTCTCGTCTGACACCGTCTGCGATCTGCTGAAGTTGAATGCGGGTCAGTGGGATGGGCTTCAGAGGCACGTCAAGGTCAAAGGTCACGTGAAGGTGTACACACGCGGACACAACATGGTGAGCATTACAGCTTTACTCACCTACATGAGCGCTTTCATGAGTTCATGTTAGAGGTCGACCGATAGTTGATTGCTGGAACTATCTGCAAAAACCCCTGCTGATAGTTTTCCGGGTTGCATCTATTGCTGGAGCGGCTGAGAAGATCCACTGTCATTATACAGAGCGAGAGCTGCCTCTAGAGGAGAATCACTGACACCTCTGCTGTTTGTTTTGACACTGCGCGCTACACAGAGCAGGACACTTCAGACGCGGATTTAAATGCAGCCGACAGAAAATCCTGCCCCGCCACGTAGTTTTCCATTAAATTACATTATATTTGTCCCAAATCGCTGTTGATATGAAATGGTAAAACTTTACAATAAGAGTCCATTTATAACATTAAGATTAATGAAAGCTGGATAAGTATTGTTCCTTGTTAGAGTGTGTTAATTTCAACATTTACTATTACTAATGTTTCTGCTGTTAACATTAGTTAATAAACTATGAACTAGCTTTATTGATCAATATATCAATTAATATTAATATTTTTATTCATTTACAAAGTATGGTTCAGTAGTGTTTTTATTTTAAATAGTAAAACACTATTTTGGTTTTTGTTCAGTGTGCATTTTAAAAACTATCAGTTGATTAATCGGTATCGGCCAGTGTGGTACAACCTAGTTATTAGTATCGGTCGACCTCTAGTTCATGTGATCACTGTGTGTGTGTGTAGACGTGCGACGAGGACCCTAACGACGCTTTAGTTCAGTATCTGAGCTGTTTGTGCTCCAGCACCTCTGTGTGTCGACAGATTCACCTCACCTGCCGACTGCGAGCTCAGAGAACAGGTGAACACACACACACACACACACACAGACACTCTCACACACACACACACACCCACACACACACACACACACACACTCTCTCATACTCATGTTTGACAGGTGCACCTACAGTAGAGCTGCACAATTTAGGGAAAAAATGTAATTGCAGGTTTTCTGAGGTAATAATAGCAATAAAAATAATGAGCATATAATCATCATTTCATTGTATTTCACAGGACTTTGTGAGACTATTTGAATTAAATGGGGTCGGAGATATTAATTTTGAGCTCTCAAAATGCACCAGATTCATGCATTTCAGTTTAAAACTTAAAAAAACTTAGCAATTGTATGCATTTGTAAATTTAAATGCATCAAATTAACTGCTTCGACCCCTTTTCATTTCAAATTAAATATAATAAAATATGGATTCAAACCTCTTTTTAGTTGTGTCTCAGTCCACATTACACTGGTGTTTTTAAAAAATGTGAATATATTAATAATCATAATAATAATAAATAATACTTTTATATTATTGGTATTATTATCATCATTATCCCTAAGACAGTAATATATTAGTAGCAGCTGCACTGTAAAATAAATGTGATGAAAACATAATATAATTGAAAACAAAAATTTCGTAAGTATATTATTTACTTTACAGCAAAAAAAACTAATTTTGTCTCTAAATTTTCTTAATTGCGGAAAACTACAGTTTCTGTGAAAACAGGTTTACAGATACATCTCATTACAAATCTAGTGAATTGCTGTAATCATCTGTGCACAAAAATGTTGGAAATGATGTATATGTGAAAATTAATCGTAAATGTCAAATGTTGCTTTCCCAAATACACAATAATATGCACTTTATATGCACTTCTCATTACTAGTTTGTGAAGATGGATGGCGCATATTACATTTTCAAATGCTCATTAAAGCAGCCTAAACTCAAATCAAATGCAGAGGTGAAGCAGCATTTGCTGTCAACTGAGATACTAAAAACACTGTATCCTGAGCTGCTCGCGTGCAAATGAACACTAAATGAAGTGTGTGTGTGTGTGTGTTTCAGGGAAATCTCAGCTGAGGAAAGTTCATCGAGGACAAACTGAATTCATCTGCAAATTCACACCTGCACTGCAGTTACAATGCCAACACATACACACACGCTAAAAACACACACGCACACACACAAACACACACATACACTCAAACACTAAACAGCAGACGTGTCGTAATCAGATGCTGCTCAGTGTTTCATATGTTTGATGTTCTGCTGCTGTTCTTGAGCTTTTCACTCGTTCACTGAATTATGATTGTAACAAAATAATATTTTTTTAATATTTTTTTTATGATGATTATTTTATTATACACAGTAAATATTGTAAGATAAAACTCTTGTTCAGAAACAGAAATAAAAAGAATTGTTTCATTCGTTACGTTTCATGTATAGATTTGAATATCTTGAATATCAGTTCAGCCTGAAGTCTCTCAGCACTAACCAATCACAGAGTAGGAAAGCGTGTGGGGGCGGAGCTCCAGACAGACGAGCACTCGGGGGGCGGAGCTCCTCGCAGATGAGCACTCAGGGGGCGGAGCTCCAGACAGTTGAGCGCTCAGTGGGCAGAGCTCCTCACAGATGAGAGTTCAGTGGGCGGAGCTCCTCACAGATGAGTGCTCTTCCTCATGTGAATTCATAACTTCAGAAGTAGTTCTCCCCTTGAAGCTTTATTTACTCTCCTGCTGCACATATAGGGCAGAGCTCCTCACAGATGTGAGTTCAGTGGGCGGAGCTCCTGACAGACTAGAGTTAGGAGGCGGAGCTTACAGACGGTCATTGATCAGACAGACGGCAGCAGGACAGCAGGTATGTAACACATTAAAACTCCTCACATGATCACAGGACATGATTTCAGTGGGGTTTTTCACATGCTTGTGTTTTTGGAGGTCTGATATCTTCTCGTGTCTCTCACTATGTCAGTTGTGCTTGCTGAATATTGCTCGTTTGAACTGCTCTTATCAAGCACACACTTCTGTCTCCGGCAGATCTGTGTGTGTGTGTGTGTGTGTGTGTGTGGACATTGGCTCTGTGTGTGTTGTGCGTGTTTGTAATAGAAATCAATATGTGCAGCAGGAGAGTAAATAAAGCTTCAAGGGGAGAACTACTTCTGAAGTTATGAATTCACATGAGGAAGAACCTTCTGGAGGGTTTGGTTAGTGGTACTGGTTTGTGGTCATATATTGTGTAATTTGTATTTTTTCGAGTACTCCGGGGGGGTGGAGCTCATGCAGACAAGCACTTGGGGGGGCGGAGCTCCTCACAGATGATCGCTCAGTGGGCAGAGCTCCTCACAGATGATCGCTCAGTGGGCGGAGTTCCTCACAGATGAGAGTTCAGTGGGCGGAGCTCCTCACAGATGAGTGCTCTTCCTCATGTGAATTCATAACTTCAGAAGTAGTTCTCCCCTTGAAGCTTTATTTACTCTCCTGCTGCACATATTGATTTCTATTACAAACACGCACAACACACACAGAGCCAATGTCCACACACACACACACACACATACACACACACACACA